TTTGAGGTGGCCATTTTCCCCAGTTTTTCACTCTAATTAGACAGATTAAAAATGCAATGTCAAAATAACTCTTTCACAATCACCTCACCAAACACTGATTCAAGTGAACCAGTTTAGGAGAACCTTGTTATCAATCTGATTTATCACTATATCAAACCAAAATTACTAAATTATATTTCCAATAATATCTCTCACCCCTTTTTTTCTTATCCTATATATTCTGTCTTGCTATAAAACTTAATAATATAATATAATTCCGTATGTGAATTTTAACATAGTAAACAAAAAGAATCATTTAGTATATATATGAGTCAACCATCATTTACCTATTATCTCTTGTTCTAAACTGTTCTAACAATAAATCATTTCTTATCCTGTACACTTCATTTTCCTGTATAATCCTATATCACTCTTATTCACATACCAGTTTCCTTTTCCAAAAAAGGAAAAATAATCACATCACCCTTAGTATCTAACTTATACTAATTCCTTCATTTATTTATTTATTCTTTATTCCTTATATGTTTATTCTTTATTTAACACCTTATAATGAATCACAAATTTTCCTTACTCTTTCTCTAATCTTCTGTGCTTCTCTCATTTTGATCCAAGGCCAGCCCTTAATCATCTCTTTTACCTCTTTTTTCTCTTTGCCCTTCTTTACCTCTTTCTTCTTCTATTATTCTTATAACAGTCAACAGTCAATTTAAGTCAATTTAAGCCAGATCAAACCAGTTTAAGTCCAAACAAGACCAGTTCTTCAAATACAAAACCCTACTTTCTTTCACTTAAGTATCTTTCCGGTCCAGTCCAGTATTTTTTCCCATCGGTCTTACTGCTTACTTTTACTGTCTCTCTATGTCCATCTCTCTGTTCTCTATTCCTCTAAAGTTCCCTTCTTTTCTTCCTTTTACTGGTTTAATCACTTTTTTCCTTTTCCTTTTCCTCTTCTAGCCTCTTTGCCTGTCTTCACTGTCCTTTAAAGTCCTTTCCCCCTTCAGTAGCTTAATCAACTTGCTGCTTTCTGCTTGCTGCTTGCTGCCTTCCCCCTTTCTTCGCAGACCTTCTGTCTCTCTTGTTCTCCTATTCTCTTCCCCCACACTGGACCTCTTTTCACT